CTCAGTCCAGTATTTCCCACCAACTGATGTTTCCATGTCTTTGCTTAAAAACCAGATGTTTCTGAACTTTGTCAGTCCATAGTGCCCTTGTCCAAAAGGAAAAAGTGAAAATTTCTCATGGTGCTCTATATGTTTGCTGCACCCCAATGTGGTGCCTACATGCACAATTTAAGAAGCAAACAAGTCAATATTTCTTTTCAAACAGTATTTTACTTGAAATCTCAATACATAAAACAAAGGCAATATTTATAAGTTTAAAGATATAACAATTATTTATTCTAGTACCAATCAATGTATGGTGGCCCAAGTAGGTTTTGAATACAGTAAACTGAAATTTGAGGTCATGAATGACCATTGATGTCTTATATATAAAAAATTACTTGGATTCCTGTTTCTGTTTGGTTTTATTCTTATACATTTATTTTGTTCTAACCTTTGATTCCACCAGAATGCTAATTTCTAAAAGAATTTGTATATTTCCCTAGTATAAATATATAGTTCAAATAATGTTCATAGAAGTTTAATTAGTTTCTCCAGAGATATATGTTAACAATATTTAAGATTTGCTCACAAATATCTAAGAACATTAAGATCAGCTAAAACGATCAGCTAAAACAGACCTTGAAATAGTGTGAAACCCACACAGAAATTATAGTTGTAAAGAGAAACATTTGTCAAGATATCACACCTACCAATTGTGTTTGTTAATGTAGCTTGTTTTAAGAGAATATGGTATGATTCGTAAGAAACACATGTAGAAATTTTCATGTGAAGAATAAATGAGCACACAAAACATAACCCAATGCTTTAATAAGCAAGCATTTATGGTCTTAAGATGAGAGGTGGCCTCACAGTCCATGGGCTTCTAGCTTTCCTATTTGTGAGCCATGTTTTATGACAAAGTAAGTTCCTTCATTTATTAGATAGCCCTTTTACTTTCTACCAGAAAATGTGTTTTTAAATGATAAATAATTACTTTATTACAGTTTTTCATCTATAAATAATGTGAAGTAAGATAATGGGCAGGTATTTAACTTAGTGGTAGGACACTGGTTAAATGCCTGTGTCCTGTATCTACCTGGGTTGAATACATGGTTCCTGATTCCAGCTTCCTGCCGATGCAGACCTTGAGAGGCAGCATTAATAGCTCAAGTAGTTGGACTTTTCCAGCTCCTTCTTCAGCCTGGCCAAGCCCTAGCTGTTATGGGCATCTAGGGAGTAAATCAGCAGTTGAAATCTTTCCCTCACCTCTACCACCAAAAATATATATTTTTTAAAGTAAAATAACATATTGGATCACTACATTAATGCACAAATGGAATGGATGGTCAAAGTAACTGAAGAAGGGAAACTTTACTAAGAAAATGCAAACAGTTCTTCATCAGATCCTTTAAATATGAAAATTACCTGAAATTTTAGCCCATATTTGAAATATATATAAGGATTAAGTCCATGAAATATTCATCATAAAAGGCACAATGCTGCCTATTTAAAGTTTCATAATTTACTAAAGTAAAACATTGTCATTAATTCAAATCTGTGGTCAGAGGGCACGCACATAGATATGTACCAGTTATTTTGTGATGGAAAGAACATTATAGTTTATATTTGTACTTTGTGGAATAATCATTTTTAGTTTAGAATAGACTTAGCTTTACATAAATCTTGCAAGACAGTATAGAGGGTTTTCATATATTCCAAATCCAGTTTCCTCTGTTGTTATATAATATCTTCTATTAGTATGGCACATTTGTCACAATTACTAAACCATCACTACACATTAGTATTCATTTCATTCAGAATTCCTTAGTTTTAACCTAATGTCCTTTTTCTGTTCCAGGCTCTTATTCAGTATAAAAGGACCACATTATAATTAGTCATTAATTCACCTTAGGATTCCCCGTGGCTATGACAGTTTCTTAGACTCTTTTTGTTTTTCATCATCTTGATAGCTTTGAGGGTACTGTTCAGTTATTTTGTAGAATCTCCTTCAGCTGGAACTAGCTGATGTTTTTCTCATTATGACATGGATTGAGATTTTGTCGTCTTTCCCCAAAGACAACAGAGCTACAGCTATTCTTAGCACATCTTATCAGGGGCACATACCATCAACATGGCTTATTACATTAACTTTGACCAGCTCGCTGAGCTAGTGGTTTTACGCACAGAGTTTTCTGCACCAGATTTGTCTGTTCTTCCCTCACTTATTTATTCAATCATTTTATATTACTATTGCTATAGGTCAACAGATATTTATATTGTATATCAGATTATAATCCAAACTACTTGTTTATTTTGCACATAAATTATTCTAGTTTTGGCTGCTGGGAACTCTTTCATCTGGTCCCTAATATCCATTCAACGTAACCCACAAAGTGTGTGTTTTGTTGAGCAATTTTCTACTTTTCAACACTATAAGGTACTTTAGGCTTACCCTGCCCTACACTAAAACTCTGCCATTTCTCTAAGGACTCCTGGTTCCTTTTGTTGGAAAGTGGAATCAGAAACCAAGATTTGACACTAACTATGAGTTCATATTATTATCTCCACCTCTAACTCATTACCACACAAATCATTCCAGTCTTCTTCCCTTGCTTATCTGTGACCTCCCACTCTAGCTTTAAGGAATATTTATTTATATACTTCTCATCGGAGGAAGCCAGCTTGCCTTGGTTGCTTTACACCAATGTAGTAAAGAATTATATTTCAGAGAGACAGAAGTAAGGATTGTAAAATAAAATTTTATTAAAGTAAGTTCCAAGGGAAAAACAGGCCAGTCAAGAGAGCATATGGCCCATGAAGGAATAGTAAATAGAAGTTTATTAAAGCACATTCCAAGAGAGGAATGAGACAGTCAAGGGAGCACCTTTCTTCCTGTTTTGAGGCTTTTATCCCTAAGAGATGAGGGGACTTGACTGTGATGAACCTGTGATGCTCATGACCCACATTTCTGATTGACATCTGGGAGTTGCGTACATTTGAGCTCTCTGCCCATGTGGCTACAAACTAGACTTTTCTAGTTTGGTTGTGCTTACATTTAATTGGATACTTTAACCACAAGTTAAACCACAAAGTGGGTGGTTGTGGGTGGTTCCCAGAAGAGAAAAGAGTCCTTGGATTCACCCCAGAAGAAGGGCATTTTGGCCCCTCCCCAGTCCTCATGTCCAGTGATCCACCTGACATAAAGATTCAGTTCTGATACACATATGTAGTGTTTTCAGAATTGTTATCCCACATTCCTATGGGAAATGACTTTATCAACATAATACGTGCTTGCATGCAATTTCTTCTACAGTTAACGACTTCACTCATTTCTAGTTACTGAAGTCACTCTTTTTTCTCTCCACTCTCTTCAGGAAGATTGGATCATACATTTGTAGTGTACTTGATTCTTTTGTCATAGTGTGCAGCACATCCTGGAATTTACCCAAACCTCATAAATGTTGTTACTGTTGTTTTAATTTGCATACATTAAGGTATAATACTTCCATAAAGTTCTGTAGATTGTTAATTTTACATTCCACTTAATTTTGAATTTCTACTTGTTTCACATCATTGGAATGACTGTGATTCACGTACAAAATAACGGCAAATAGAAATGGTTTTTAATAGCTTTCTTTGCAATTTCAGTGTATCTTTCAACAGGATAAATCCAGAAACTTGAAAGAGAAATAAAGAGAAATTTTATTTCAAGGCTGCATCAATAGTGATATGGATCAACTACTTGAGTTATTAATGATAATAAGTCTAACTATTTTTCACAATACTTTCTGATATTTCTACCAAGACATTATTAGAAAATGACACCAAAATGACAGAATTTGATGGTGCCTTCATTTTTTTAGTCAATATCTTTGCTAAAGATGGCATTTAAAAATGTTAACGGTGGGGGGGGGGTGCTGTGGTTTAGCGAGTAAAGCTGCCACCTGCAGTGCCAGCATTGCATATAGGCACCAGCTCTAGTCCCAGCTGCTCCACTTCTAATCCAGCTCTCTGCTATGGCCTGGGAAAGCAAGCCCTTGGGCCCCTGCACCCACGTGGGAGACCTGCAAGAAGCTCCTGGCTCCTGCCTTCAGATCAGCGCAGCTTGGGCTAATGCAGCCAATTGGGGAGTGTATCAGCAGATGGAAGCGCTCTCTCTCTCTCTCTCTCTCTCTCTCTCTCCTCTCTCTGTGTAACTCTGACTTTCCAATAAATAAATAAATCTTTAAAAAAATAAATCTTAAAAAAATGTTCGCAGGCAAGGACTTTCTTGGAAAACAATTCTCCATCAGTTTCTGAACATTTCTGCATAGTCACTGAAAAAACTTCTATTCTAGATCTCTTCAAGGATGTTCATATAGTGTACAGCCTTGAAGAACACCATATGTCCCTCTGGAGCACAGCTTTGTTTCTTGAACAAAATAATTAAGAAAATCTCTCTCTGACACAAAGGCTAGGCAGGTTTGCTAGCAGCTTCCTTTTAAGATTATAGATTTCTGGGCTCCACGGCTCAGTAGGCTAATCCTCCGCCTGCGGCGCCGGCACCCCGGGGTTCTAGTCCTGGTTGGGGTGCTGGTTCTGTCCCGGTTGCTCCTCTTCCAGTCCAGCTCTCTGCTGTGGCCAGGAAGGCAGTGGAGGATGGCCCAAGTGCTTAGGCCCCACACCCACATGGGAGACCAGGAGGAAGCACCTGGCTCCTGGCTTCGGATCATTGCAGTGCGCCAGCTGTAGTACCCATTTGGGGGGTGAACCAACGGAAGGAAGACCTTTCTCTCTGTTTCTCTCTCTCTCTCACTGTCTAATTCTACCTATCAAAAAAAAAAAGATTATAGATTTCTTAAACCATGCTTAACCTCTCTTGCTGGTTAGAATATACATGATGTCCTTGAACCATGAAAGGAACCTTCAGAATCATGGAGATATTGATTATGATGTCCATGAGGCCTGGACTAATGTCAGCAACTCTCTCCCTCCAGACTTCTCATATAGTGATTGAAGTTATAGGTAGGAACTCTGTGATAGTGCACTCAAATATGGCACTGACTAATGGAAGCCATGAGACACATCATGAATTTATATAAATGGAAGTACTATGTAGCACTGTTTCACTCCATTAGTGGTGATAAGGGTCTTGGAAAAGGAGTATAAATCTAAGAACAATCACTGGATATCTAGGTAAATATATCAAACAAAATCACTCTTTTTAGCAATAATTATGAATATTTGTGGGCTACACTGTATATTTTAATACACATACACAATGTGTACTTATCAAAACACGGTAATCAGCACTTCCACTTCTTTCACATTAATTATTGGAGGCATGGAATTTGTTTCTTCCACTTTTACACATAGTATATACACTAGGTTATTGTGAACTATTATTCTGACCACTATGCTGTGTAACACTTGGAACTTTCAATCAAATGCTGATTTGGTACCTGTTATTTAAACACTCTCTATCTACCTCCACCCCTACAAGCCTCTAGTAATCACCATTTTGTGTTCATATCGAGGTTTTATTTAGCTTCTACATATGTGGGAGAACACAGTATTTGTCTTTCTGCATCTCATCTATTTCACCTAACAAAATGTCCTCCAGTTCCATCTAAAATAGTGCTCCTACCACAAGTCAATATTAAGTTTCAAAATCACCATCAAATTAGTCAATGTTAAATGCTGACTTGTAAAAACTCAAGTATTAGTTTTTCATTAAATGTTATATTTTTGTATTCCGAGCATCCTAAAAACATTTCATAATGTAACCTATCATTTGGCAGGTATTTGCCACTTAATTTCTTGGGCTATTCTTTTTTCCTCATCCTTTAGATTTTACAATTAAGCAAGCCTTTGAGAAAAGTCTCAGATTACACCTTTCCTTTTTCTATTTCCAGAAAAACCACCCTAGGCAAGGCTTCAACCTCCTAATCCATAATTACTATAATTGTTTGCTAAATGGTCTTCTCAGCACCTCCCCCCTTTCATCTATCTATCCCTTATCATCTCATCTCATTTCAAATCCTTCTGTTATGTTATGCCATTGTATGTCTACAGGGCACTGGCCATAGGCTATTGAGCACATTTATTATATTCTTTACTAAATAGCAACATCACGACAAGACACCATGCCCATACTTTCTCATAGTTCTCAATACTGTCTTCACATTCGAAACACCTGAAGAGCTTTTTTTAAAACAACAACAACAACAAAAAAGACTGATGTCCCATGTCAACCTCTAAAGACTGGGATTTAACCAATCTGGGTGAGGGTCAGGAACCTATATCTTTTACAATGCTCACCCACTATCAAACTCAATACCAGAGATAGAAAAGTGAACAAGCAGACAGCATAAGTCTTACACTTCAGTCACTGCATGGCTTCATTCCTGATGTACTGGGTATGTGTGCACTCATGTATACACACAATGCACACATCCCTACAAACAATCTCCCCCAAAGACAAGCTCCCCATCATGTAAGTTGAAATCAGGTCCTACATCCTTTGTGAATCATTCTTTGATGACAACTATTAACATTGCCCCCCTTTCCTCAATGCCTTTTGATGTACTACCTATTCCCCAATCTCTGTAAGCTCTTTTTTTTTTTTTTTTTTTTGACAGGCAGAGTGGACAGTGAGAGGGAGAGACAGAGAGAAAGGTCTTCCTTTTGCCGTTGGTTCACCCTTCAATGGCCGCCGCAGCCGGCGCACTGCAGCCAACACACTGCGCTGATCCAATGGCAGGAGCCAGGTACTTATCCTGGTCTCCCATGGGGTGCAGGGTCCAAGCACTTGGGCCATCCTCCACTGCACTCCCTGGCCACAGCAGAGAGCTGGCCTGGAAGAGGGGCAACCGGGACAGAATCCGGTGCCCCGACCGGGACTAGAACCCAGTGTGCCGGCACCGCAAGGTGGAGGATTAGCCTATTGAGCTGCAGCACCAGCCTTTAAGCTCTGTTGATTGTTATGTTTCTGCATCAAATGATTAGCACTTCATGATATGCCATTAAGCTATTCAACTGCAAAACAAGCACAATGGCATAGGTGGTCTCAGAAGTCCTTTTCTTTGATTCTCACAATATGAATCTATGATTTGTCTGTACTGCCCAATTTATCACTCAATAGAGATGATGTTTTCCACTAGTTATTTGATATCTGTAGGTTTTCTGTGGCTAACAAAAATATACAGGGCCCTTATCATAAAAAACACCATTTTAAAACTCTCTAGTATATCCTTACCCTTGGCACAATGCTAGATACTTATACATTGTACATTGACTGATAGGTTAAGCCAGACTTGATGCAGTTTAAAGAACTGGGGAAAAGTGAAGGGAATCCCCTTGAGGAAGCAGAATCTACACATTAGAAGAGTGGGCTTTGAAGATGGAATGCCCGAACTACTTGTTCAGCTCTTTACTTACCAGCTATATAATAATACAACTTAAGGAACTTATTTAATATCTCTGAGCCTCAATTTTCTCACTTGTAAGAAGAAATTAATCATACCTACTCATAGGTTGCTATAAGGATTAAATATGTGTATGTTTATACATGTATAAATTAATATAACACCTCATATTTAATAAGCATTTAATAAACATTAAAATAAAATTTATTTCTATGTTAATTATTATTGTTTGGATAAAGACAATAAAACAATTAAGATTGAAGAGTACAGGCCGGCGCCGTAGCTCACTAGGCTAATCCTCCACCTTGCGGCGCCAGCACATCGGGTTCTAGTTCCGGTCGGGGTGCCGGATTCTGTCCCGGTTGCCCCTCTTCCAGGCCAGGGAGTGCAGTGGAGGATGGCCCAAGTTCTTGGGCCCTGCACCCCATGGGAGACCAGGTTAAGTACCTGGCTCCTGCCATTGGATCAGTGTGGTGCGCCCACCACAGCGCGCCGGCTGCGGCGGCCATTGGAGGGTGAACCAACGGCAAAGGAAAACCTTTCTCTCTGTCTCTCCCTCTCACTGTCCACTCTGCCTTGTCAAAAAAAAAAAAACAAAGATTGAAGACTACAAGAAGAAGAAGAGCATTTTATGACACTGAGGAAACTGGGTATGTGGATTTGGAAAAGTTTGGTAAGTAAAAGAATACAAAATGAGAGTTCACATGAAATGAAGTATCTACTCAGAGAGCAAGGCCCTTGCTTCTGGTTCTGTGACCTGAAAGGCAGCAAAGAAACAAGCCACAGAATGACTCACACATGCATCCCTTTGATCCCCTTTCTCTCCTTGTCATAAAATGACAAGGAAAAGGGTAGTTGAGTTATTCATTCACTCAACAAAAACTTGTCATTATTTGCAAGATATTGTACTAGATGCTGAAAGAAGTCTGACAGTATGGGTTTGTGATGTAGTTAGGGGTGCAAAGCAAACATAACCAGAACAAAGGGTGCAAGATAGAAAAACATTCATCATGAGAGATACATAAGCAACCATTGCAGAAGTTTATAGGAGTGAGAAATTATGGATGATTTCAGAGAACAGGTTAAAACCAACCTGAGCCTTGGAGAGACAAAGATTTAGGTGAGGGAGTATCCTCATCTTTTCTTAAACAGAAGCTAAGCTAAGATACAAAGAAGGAAATATGCAAAGCACATAGGAAGGGTTGAGTGTTTTGTAGCACAGGGAGAGTGAATAGATATGGTGAGAGATCTGTTGGATATTAAAGTGAGGCTACATTATTGGGTCCCCGGATGCCAACTGTGAGAATGAAAGGTGAAAAACCATTCAAAATCTTAGAGATATGCTTCAGAAAGAAGAAAGCACTGAGCTTGACAGAAGATCGGGGAAATTAGTGTTCTATATACAGGAGAGGTAAATATCCAGCCACAGAACTTATAAGGCCCATGAAATCATTTGATCAGACCCTTCCAAGGCACCACAGGTGGGACTCAAAATTCAGTAAGTCTATGGTAAGCTAATTTTTTTTATTTGACAGGTAGAGTTATAGACAGTGAGAGAGATAGAGAGAGAAAGGTCTTCCTTCCGTTGGTTCACTCCCCAAATGGTCACAACAGCCGGTGCTGTGCTGATCCAAAGCCAGGAGCCAGGTGCTTCCTCCCGGTCTCCTATGCTGGTGCAGGGGCCCAAGCACTTGAGCCATCCTCCACTGCCCTCCCAGGCCACAGTAGAGAGCTGGACTGGGAGAGGAGCAACCGGGACTAGAACCTGGCGCTCATATGGGATGCCGTCGCCACAGGCAGAGGATTAACCAAGTGAACCACAGCACTGGCCACCTATGGCAAACTGATTTTTAAGTTGATAATTTAAAATGGTGGCAAATAATGTTATAAATATCTAAATGGGCTTTGGCAGAAAAAGTTTCCCCACACATGACTACTGAAATAGCCCATATGAAAAGTCATGAATACTGGAAACTTAGGTTAGTAGAGTTTCTTCATCACACACATAAACATATGCTGATGTCACTCTAAACCCCACTCACTTGAGTCCAAGAAGACATCAGGCAAGGAAAATGTGCCACTTTGGATCATTTTCAGTTTTGTTTTCTCCCAAAGCTGTAAACATAAAAACTAGAACTGCTGATCATATGTAGCTCATTGCTGCCCCCAAGTAGATACAGCCTCTAGATCTGCCTTGGTCCCAGGGCCCCAGGCAATTGAACTTAATATCCAAGCCAATACTACCTATGGTTGGTTTTATTTTATTTTATTTATTTTATTTTTTTGATAGGCAGAGTGGACAGTGAGAGAGAGAGACAGAGAGAGAAAGGTCTTCCTTTGCCGTTGGTTCACCCTCCAATGGCCGCCGCTGCAGCCGGCGCACCGCGCTGATCCGATGGCAGGAGCCAGGATCCAGGTGCTTTTCCTGGTCTCCCATGGGGTACAGGGCCCAAGCACCTGGGCCATCCTCCACTGCACTCCCTGGCCATAGCAGAGAGCTGGCCTGGAAGAGGGGCAACCGGGACAGAATCTGGCGCCCCGACCGGGACTAGAACCCGGTGTGCCGGCACCGCAAGGTGGAGGATTAGCCTATTGAGCCACGGCGCCGGCTCCCTATGGTTGGTTTTAACAACCTTGGGCTGCAAGCTCAACTCAGCAGCAAGAAGACCATAGCAAAGTAATCTTTGGTTGTAGCCTGGGCTTTGCTAGTCTTTGCAGGTTGTAGGTTCTGAGTGTGATCTAGCATTGCCTCATAGGTGACCACAGGAATACTCATTCCAGTCTTCCTACAACTCCAAGCATTATAATATGGAAAGAGCCATCATATGGTGGAGGAAAAAAAAGGTAGGTAGGTGATATTTCACAGAAACCAGGAGCTGTCACCACAGAATCCTGCCAGATATTGAGCCGCACTACTGTGATCCCCAACCATGACTTTCCCTACACAGGTACCTTAGTGATCTGCCAAGGACTAGGATTCTGGGCCAGAGTTCCCAGCCACAGCCAACTAAGGACTATTGCCCATACATCCCTGGATCCTGCCTTACCAAACGCATATAACCCTGCTGGGACTGAGAGAAGTGACCCAAACTCCTACTGCTACTACTACCCATTCTTATAAATGAAGATAGAGAGATTTATAGCACTCAACTAGAACTAAAGGCAAAACAGCCTACCAAACCAACACTCAAAGCCAGAGCATCTTCAGGAAAGGCCTTTTACCATGAAAGCCACTCATTAAAAGTGATGGAAACAATAAATTTGCCAGATGTACAAATAGCCCCATGTGCACACATAGGGATACAGGAAGTATAAAAAAAAGTAAAGAATATGACATCCACAAAGGAGCACAATTATGCTTTAGTAACAAAGCCCAAAAAAGGATTGATCACATGCCTGATAAATAATTCAAAAGAATGATTATTAGGGTGCTCAAAGAGATACACGAGAATTCAGAGTAAGGAAAATTGCATGATATAAATGAGAAATTCAGCAAAGACAGATCTTAGATAATAACCAAACAGAAATATTAGAAATACAGAACTCAATAAGTCAAATTAAAAATAGTTGTGGAGTAGGCATTATAGCATAGCATGGAATGCCCACATCCCATATCAAGCTTGCTTCTCACCTCTACTTCCAATCCAGCTTACAACTAATGTGCACCCTGAGAGGCAGCAGATGACAGCTGAAATACTTGGGTCCCTGCCAGCCATGTGAGAAACCCAGGTGGAGGTCCTGGCTTCTGATTTCACCCACCCCAGCTGTAACAGGTATTTAAGGATTAAATCAGCAAGTGGAAGATCTTTTGTGGGGAGCAACTCAGACTAGACTGTTACTGGAATTAAGACTTATTCTATGCATCTGCTCTCCCACAATATGGCGCTGAGAAGGGAGTAACAACTTCTACGCAGCTGCCTCTCGCCAACTTGAGTGATGACCTGCAGGAGCTGAACCTGCTCCTGATTGGAGGAGAGCAGCGTACTCGGCATGTGGGTAGCAGAGTTGGGATTGGTGGAAGAGGACTATAAAGGAGGAGAGAGACAACATGCACCAGGAACATCTATCTGAAGGAACACCTGTGCAGCCCCCGAGAGAGCCGGCCGGCGGTGTGCCGCTCCCCCGCGGAAGTGGGGAAAGTGGCTAGGGGGAACCGCCCTTCCACAGAGGTGGAAGGGACGGTAGCCAACCCGGGAAGAACCAGCAGCAAACCCGGGGAGGGCCGAGCAGACGAAAGAACAGCGCAGGGTCCTGTGTCATTCCTCCACGAAGAGGGGGAACAACATAATGGTGCCGTGACTCGGATAGGAAACCTAGGAGGGAAGAAACGGGAAGAAGTGGGAAAATACCGGAGAGAGAGACTAGCAAAGAGCCTAGGGAAAAGCCGGACGGAAAAGGTGCCAGAAGAAGCTATCAAAAGCCTAGGCATAGACTCAGATACGGACTACGGGGGGAAGCTGGGAGAAATCTCTAAGGTCGAAAGCGAAAGTGAAACCTAGAAGAAACTTAGACTCGGATACGGACTGTGGGGAGAAGCCAGGAGAAATGAGGGAGGAATATTGTTGGAAGAAAACTTAGGGAAACATAGCGGGTAGAGAAAAATGTTAGGGAAATTGAAGCTGCGGGGGCAGGCCGAGGCGGAAACGTAAGCTATGTTGGAATTCTTCAAGTCAGCCCGGGGAACAAAAGGCGAAAAGCTAAAACTAGAGGTGGACGCGTAAGCCAGGTTGGAATCCGTCAGATTAGCCCAGGGAGCAAAAGACGGGAAGCCAAACCGTGAGGCGGAAGCGTGGGCTAGGTTGAATTCGCCAGATTAGCCCGGGGAACTTGGATTGAATGCCGGTGGCGGAAACATGAGCTGGGCTGTGTGACTCGCGGAAGCCGCCGTGTGCAGAGAGAGCACGGGGCGTGAATAGATAGGGAACGCGGGGCTGGCGCGAAGGCCGTGGTGCGGGCACGAAGGGCGTGGAGACCGCTGAGCGCGCGAAGCTGAGCCGCGCAGAGCCGGGAAGCAGCCTTGGGGCGGGCACCGGGAAGCCGCGGGAAGTTTAGAAGTAAAATGAGAGAAATAGGAATGCTGGCAGATAGAAGTAAAATAGGAGAAATAGGAATGCCCGGAGGTAGAGAAATAGGGAAAAATAAGGCCTCCCCACAACATGGCAATGAGAGAGCTTGGATTCGGTCTGCCTGATTACTAAGACGATAAGCACCTGTGGGCCGCTGCAGGTCACCGAAGACAGGCACGTTATCAACACCAATAAGTCTCCCCACAAGATGGCAATGAGAGGGCTTGGATTCGGTTTGCCTGATTGGTAGGGCTTGTAAGCACCTGCAGGCAGTTCTAGCAGAGCAGAGCATGCGCTGCAGGGCACCGAACACAGGCACACATCAGAGCCTAAAAACCTCCTCACAACATGCCAAAGAGAGGACCCGGATTCGGTTTGCCTTATTGGTAGGGCTTGTAAGCACCTGTGGGCAA